AAAAAGATTATAATTTATCACATATATGTGTTTATTGTGAAATATGTAATCTTATTTTATAGACATAAACACCTCTTAAAATCCTTGGAAAAATGAGGTAGGATGTATATAGATATGGAAAGAAGTATATACATTTGCACCTTTTTATAGGTGGAACATCCACCCAGAGATGTTTCAGGAAACAGAACTGACACATTAAACAAAGATTCTTTATACTGACCACTGAAATACCTCTAAAACATTCAATGGTAAGACCTTAGCAGTGTCTAAAAACCCTGTACACACATACATACACACACACACACACACACACACACACACACACACACACACACTTTATATCTATGTAATTTACCAAGTCTAGGCTACAAGAGGAAACTGCAAAAATTCACTAATTGAAATGGAGTTTGGCCAAGGCATTCAATTCTAATCCCCCTTTTTCTGATTCCAAATCAGTGAGAGTACACGCTTTGTGTTTTCTGGTGAATTACAGACCTATGTAACAATCAGCATATTTTCTCAGACCAGAGCCAGTAACTCCCAACAATGAGTGTTTGTCAGTCCTAACTGGTTTCTCTAGGTGGGTGGTGAAAAAATAGCCTACTACAGTCATTAATTCTTTCCCTTAAAAGAATCATGTGTCTTGAGAACTTCTGCTCCATCACAGGGCAATAGCCCACTTTAAATACAGTGTTTACTGATGTTTGTCCATGAATGTCATCAACAAAAGTGTTTAAATCTCACCAGGAAAGGAGGGCTTAGTTGCCAGACTTTGGGAGACAGAGTTAGTTGACCTCTGTGCTTTCAAAGGCTCTGTTAGTTAAGTGACCAATCATTAACTCCAAAGTATTTAAGCCTAATAATATAACAAAAGAGAGAACAATGGATAGTATCTTAAACATTAATCATCGTCACCTCTGGTTTAGCTATTTAGGTCCTTTCCAAGCAGAATTTACCAGTGTATAGATACAGGTATTCTGGAATATCAAAGGCATCTTCCTCCAGTTTGCAAACACAGGGAAAAAGAAGAAACCGACATCTGTAAACCTATGTAAATCTGGGGGGGATTCTTTTCAAACCTTGTTTTTTGGAAAGCAGGAAATACGATTGAAAACCAGCTCTGTTTTTATCTACCAAAAGAAACAAAACTTTGAACTCTAACATAAATCCCAAATGATTGTCTTGAATCTCATCCCTCTTCCTACCTAATCTTCCCACAAGAAGATTTAGGACTGTGGACTTGGTAGTGGAGAAGTAATTGCTCAATCACATTGGAATCCATTGGAACCCTTTGCAGTATTAGTGCGGGCAAACAATAGAATTCTAACATATTTCTTTTTTTACTTGGAGTTCAGAACAAGAAGTCCGGCTCTTGGAGACCTTCTCCCTGACGCACTGCTCTTAACATTTCCAAGTTACAAACTGGGAACCGCTTCTATCCCACAACACTAATTGTTACTTCCATTAGTACCTTCCTATTTTTATGTTACACTCACAGCATCTTATTTTAGGACTTTATATGAACATTTTCAGGATGGGTTTAGCAAAATCGTAAAGAAGTACTTAAAACAATTAGGTCACAGCTTTCAGCAGACAAAAAGAAAAAGAAGTGGATGTTAGTCTCAGAATCTGAAGCAATAGGTTAAAACCCAGTTCTTCCAAGACAGAGCAGAATGGGAGGACTTAAAATACAGCTCTGAGTAGCTGCGTCTCCTTGGCGCCAAGCTTCTCCAGGTCTTCAGCTCAGTCACTCCCTAAATAGGTGCTGAGTTTCCAGTCCCCGCCAGGTCTCCTCACTGACGAGCAGGGACTTCAGTTATACCCGCAGCCCTTTCATGTTCGCCCCCATGAAATTCTATTAGTCTTGTCGAATGGCAATATTTGCCATTCTAGGCGAACTGTTTATGACAGTCTGGAAAGAAATTCATCTGTTAATTGACTAAAGATGGTCTCTAGACTGACCTGACTGTATTTAAAAAGTCAACAAATGAAGCACAGTATAAAGCCGTCTCATTTTTCTGCCAAGGTTTGCTTGGAGTAAATTTTAACCTCTCCCCTGTATCAAGGCAAAGCACTATGCCCCTCCTACCACTCCCAAGAAGCAAGAAAAGAAAATCTTAAATAGCCTTTTAAGAAGAGTGTTTAGCGCGGTCTGGGTAGAAGTCGGGTCAGCTCCAGCTGCAGCCGGCCCCGAGCGCTGGGTGCGCGGCCACTCGGCTCTCTCCGCTAAGCTGGGCCCCGCCTTCCCCGCCCCGCCCCCATTGGCCTCGGCGGGTGGGGGCCTCGGCTGCGCCGACCGCCTGTGCGGCAGTGCTGCTGTCTCTGAGCCCAGGAAGTCACACCCGTCTCGGGCTGGAAGCCGAAGCTCCAACCCACGTGGCGGCGGCTGGCGAACCCAGCCGCTGCGGGGAGCGCCTGTTGCGAGTCCTCCCTTGGCGCGGGCTGAGCGAGTTGGGCGGCCCCCAGACCCAGCCCCCTTTGGGCGGGGCTGGACCACCTCCGCTCGTCTAGTTCTTTCCCACCCTTCCACCCCGGCACGCCTCTGCCTTCGCATTTGTTGCCGCTGGGAGCGGAAAAAGAGTATCCTGAAACGAGTCTCGAAATTCAGACTCAAACCCGGAAACAAACCCTTCCGGCCAGTTCCTGGCTGTTTGAACGCAATCTGCCCCATCTCCGTTCCTTTCTTCTTTCCCTCCCCTCCACGGTCCTTTTTCCTTCCACTTCCCTTCCTTTCCTTTTTTTTTCCTCCCGCCGCGCGCCTTCCATCCACTTTCCCGTACGACGCGCGCCCTGAAGTTGAGGAAGTTTAAGTTTTGGATTAGGGGCCCTTCTTTTGCAATATCCTGGGGCGGGGCCCTAGCGTTGGGTTCAAGTGGTCAGGGGTTTTGAAAGCACAGCATTTGTATTATCTTTCTTAAAGACGCCCAGGGTGGCGCGTCAAGACCTCCGAAACCTGATCCACCCCAGCCGTGTGCGTTCTCCCACTAAGCCGTGAACCTGACCCACGGCGCCGCGTGCGTTCCAGCCGACTCGCTGGAAGGCGCCGCTGCACTTTGCACAGACCAAGACCTTTTTTCAGGGTCCTCCAAAACCCTAGATGTACGCCGCAGATTGTGGAGTGGAAAATGAATGACTTCAGGGGAAACTGGAGCCTTCCGTCCCTGAACACAAGGTTGTGAAAGCGGCTTGCTTGGTCTGGGGGACTCGTTTTTCTCCACCCGTGCGGGACTTCTCCATCAGGGGGCGCCCACACCCGCTGCAAAACTCCCAATTCCTAGACATCTCTAGGTTCTGCAAGTCCTAGGCGCGGAACTGGGGGCAGATCCGAAGGAGCGCACCGCCTCCCTCGCTCCTCCCTCCCTGCTGCCTTGGAGGACGAGGAGGGCCGGGATTTCACACTAGCCATTCATTTGTCAGCTGTGGGGGAGGGGTCGCAGAAGCCAGAGAGACAGAACAGAGGCTGGGAGAGGGGAAGGGAGGCAGAGAAGATGGAGACAGAGAGGGAGACACAAAGATGAGAAACGAGACCCAAACAGAGGGACTCCGCCTCGGTGTGTGCGGCAAGGCAACTCTCCTGGCGCCGCATAGATTTCTCCCCCTTCCCGCAGCATCTCCCAGGGACAAGCAGGGCTAGCCGGGACGCAGTTGGATTCGAGAGCAAATAGTTTAGGCTATGACACTATTTTTCTACCCCGCTCTCCGCTGCCTAACACAGACCGCTCCACGCCCAGTGACACAGACCACGAGCCAGGACAACCCGGATGCCCTCAGTCCACACGCACCAGGGATGTCGCCCTACAGCGCCCAAGCCTCTGCAGGACAGTGGGACGCTCCAGCCGAGGACGTCCCCCGGGGCTCCCGGCACGCGCGCTCCGCTGCCGCTAGACCTGCCAGTAAAGTTGCTCAACTAGATCGGAGAACTAGGAGGGGGTGGGGGATATGTAAGGAAACGGAGGACTCCGGTAGTCTGGGCGAGAGGACTGGACCCAGAGGCCCCTGATTCGGGTCCCCTCGCCACCTTTGTCTGCAGTGCGCTCTGGGTGCCGGTTTGCTTGTTGAGATGGGAGCGACAGACCCCATTTCGCTCTTCAGGGTGAGAAAAAAAATCTTGCATATCCCTGCCGATTCAGAGCAGGGTTTTCCCGCCCAGGGGCCTCCCAGTCCTCCGCGGGGCTCCAATAACCCCACCCCCCATCCTCTGCTCCTTCCCTTCTGGCCCCTGCGCACCGCGCACAGGACAAAAGAACCCAGGGACACCGGGAGAGAGCCGTGACAGTCCCCAAGTCGCCCAAGAGACACGGCAGGGATCCTGCACCTCCCCCGGCCGGACCTCCGCCCAGGCTGCTGGCGGTCTGAAGGGGTCAGGTCCGCGCAGGCCCCAGGCTGCTTGGGCGCCGGTCGCACTGTCAGGAGCTGCCCGGGAATGGCTTTCCAGGAACACCAGGCACTGACCACACACCAGGGGCTGGGAAACCAGGTGGCCTGCACCGAGGCGCCTTCGGTGACTTGTCTGTCGGCAAGTCTTGGTAGTCCCCATTCAAACTTTTGCCTCGACCGTGTTAAGAACAAAAAACAAAGTGCCAAAGGTCCCTCTCTTCTCTCCACCTCAAGAACCCACTACTTTTCTATGATTTCTCTACAATTTATTCCCTCCCTTCCCCCAATTCCGTTAGTCATTTTACCCCCACTCCACCCTGGGCTTCTTTTGTCTGAATCTTTTTCAGCACCGAGGTCCCTCTGTATCCCTCTCCCCAAAAGCCCTTTTGAAAGTTACCTGCATTTTTTAAGAGCCTACATTTTCTTAACTTCGCCTTACAGCTCCTTGCCTTTAATTAAAGCCTTCTACCAATTGCAATTGTACTTCTTTTTTCTAAGCTCGCGGGTTTTTTTCTATAAGTTTTTTTTTTTTTTTTTTTTTTTTTTTTTTTTTTTTTTTAAGGGGGGAACAAAAGAAACGTGATTACCTTAGAAGGCGGCTTATTGCAGTTTGGGGGGAAAATTCACCGCTGCCCTACGCGACTTGACTCGGCGTTGCCCAGGCGGGTCACATAGGAAACGTGGTGGCCCGGGGAAGGGTGCGGAGGGTGCGGGACGGCGCTGGGAGATGCGGGAGGTTGCGGGGCTGGCCGAAGATCCTGGTCCCAGCTCCTGTCCACAACACCTAATGTTCTCGGCTGTTGCGTCCGCGCGCCTGGAGGTCTTCCCCAGAAAGGCTTGGGGCAGCTCGCCTGCAAGTTCAAATGCGGGTTGTGACACCCATCATCATTATATCACTGTACCGTCAGCGCCGAGGAGGAGACTCAGCGAGAAGAAGGAGGAGGGAGAGGAGGAGGGTTCATTCACAGGCTCCAAAAGCGCTCCGCAGCTTCAGCCACTCCTAAGAGCCCAGGCTTGGAAAGCAGGCGGAGGGGTTGGAAAGGCAGCTCCCCGCGCCTGCGGTAGGGACCGCCTGCCTCCCTCCCCAGGCACTCCCACCTCTTAGCGTTTCTTACTGACAAGAAGTACCAATCGGCTTGGGGACAGCAGCGCTCCCCATTCAGGGACTCACTCAGTAACGTCTCTCTGCTCTCGGAAACCACTGCCCTCCCACTCCTCCCCCACTCCCACTTCCCCGCCCCCAGTGCAGCTAGTTCTGGGTTAGGGAAAGGGAGCCCCCAGGCTCTTATGGGGCAGGCCAGCAATAGACAATTGAGTACACTCAATTCTTCTCGGGAGCATACAAAACTGTAAAATCAGCAAAGAACTTGGTTACAGCGTGTTTACGCGCCCACAGAGCTTGCCTGTCCCATCAAAGAGAAGTGTCAGGCTCAAGGCTCCGGTCAACCTGAAAGACACACTCAGAAAACGAGATCCTTTGGAGACCTAGAGGGAAAGTGTAAGAATTCCCCACTGCACTCCCAGGGAACTGCCCGATGGGGAGGCCGGCGTCATAGCACCATCCACAATGACCCTGGTAATAAAGGGCTGGACAGGAAATTCCCCCAGGCAAATCCCTTGTCGGATTCGAAGAGAATCCTTTCCTCTGCCACAAATCTCTCCCCACATAAGTAAGTCTAGCTTCTGCTTTCTTCGTCCTTCCTTTCCTTCAGTCTTTCAAAGAATATTTGACAATTTTCCTGAGTAACAGGGACACCTTGGAAGTATCAATCACCTTTCATGCTGTTCAGGAAATAAGACCATAATCTTTGATGAGTTTATGCGATTTTTTTCTTCAGTCAGGCCCACCCCACTGTGTAAACAGCATCAACACACGGAAGCGTCCCCTGCATTGTGTTACAGAAGATTCCCAATAGGACCTTACAGAGCAAAGGGTCAAACAGTTGACACAAAGGATTTCTGTCCCCTTAGAAAAGAGAGACTTTGGATTTTCCTTTTCTTCGAAGTGAGGTATGAGTTTATACATAGAAACAAAATAAATCCAAGGTGCGCATCAGTATAACACAACGGACACCAGAAGGGATGGCAAACTTTTCCTTCTATGCAAATATGAAAGTATCCTCACAATTCTTCTCTCTGAAGCCTCTACTTAGAAAATTATATTAAACATAGGGCCTCAGAACAGTAGTGATTAAAGATGAAAGCCAAATTTTCCTCTCAACTCCTTTGATTAGTTTGGTTTAAACTTATGCTTTAAAACTTTTAGTAACCTAGACTCCTGTGCATAGACATTTATAAGATTTCTTTTATACTTTTGTAATCTGTAGGCATTCAGCATAGTCATTGATTTTAAGTGATAAACAAATAGAAGGCTTGTCAGGATACTTTTAATTCTCAAAATGTGCATCTTTCATTTCTTTTGTTATTTATCAGCTCACTGCAGTGAATAATATAACTATCAGTTACATCATTTGGAAATCATTTTTTTTTTTTTTGCGGTGAATTAGTTAGTAGATTTGTTGTACTGCCATTCCAAACATTGAAATTCAATTTCATCAAATGTTTAGAATGATAGAGTTGTAGAGAGGATCTGACTTCAACCTTCATGTATAACATACAAGCAAACTAAGGCCCAGAAAGTGACTATCCCAAGGTCACACAATCAATAGTCCAGTGGTCTTCTCAGTGCTTCTAATAACAACTTTATATTCAAGATTACTTGATTCAGGAAGAGAGAGAAAAAAATAAAATGAATCTTCGTTGAAATACATACTCCAGACATTAAGGCAGACCTTTCTGTGAAACACTTAGACATGTATTTTTATTTTTATTCTTAAATTTGAGTAAATCTAGTTGCATTTCAAAGAGTTCAAATAACCTGCCCAAGGCCATTTGGTAAGTGACAGATCTGCTGGTCTGAAAAGCTTACTATCTATTACCCTTTTATCCCTTTATTATATAATTAAGTAAAACCTTTCAACAGAGGAGAACTAGAGCAAAACAAGCAACTAATAGCAGATTAATGCCCATTTTTAGGGAAATGTTAACAGTTAGCACACACTATAAATAATGGCATCTGTACATAATGGAACATGATTGAAAGTGATGGGTTAGATACTTTTTACGTCCTGAGATATTTTCATTTATCTTGCCAGGTTTGATTCTCTAATCTTTCAAAATTTATAGTTTCTTGTAATGCCCATAGACATTACAACCCTTGACCAAATAGTTCTACAGGGCAAAGGCACTTTCTCGGGGCTGACTTAAGGAATTTGAATGTGGTCAATGTTGAAAAGCTTTATACTGCCTGTCTTTTCTCTTCTTTGGCTTGTAACATTATTATTCAGAAAATTAAATACTTCTTCAGGCTATCAGATAACTAAAATGAAATTATACCCCATGAATATCTTCTTTCCATCTCTAGGGCAGACTTTCCTCTCTAGCTATCTAAAAGAGAAAATGGATAAAAAAGAAAAAGGAAAATATACCAGGTATATTTAGAATAGAGACTACGTTTGCATTCTTATTTCTATATAACTGTTTTTAAGGACTTTCTTTCATCAAGAGAAAGAAAATGAGAGAGCATTTATTTCTGATTCTCTATTGTCTAACAAAATTATCAGAAGTTTTTGAATGGGAAAATATCTATTTTGCAGATTTTATAACTAAAACTGTATTTATCCATTACACTCAAGTCTGAATCAAACAGTAATTAAATTCTTATTATGTGTGTCCCCCTTTAAATCATGTCCTTGTACTGGGGATATTCTTTGTGAAAACTCCAATATCCCAGATATAAATAAAGCAAGATCTTCATTCACAATGCTGTGTCTAAAAGAAACCATAAGCTATGTGCCTTGCGTCCTTGCTTTGATCTTGTCTTTGGTAACTTGGCTGAGCTCAGGGGCAGCAAGCCAATGACTTGGAGAGGAAAGGTGTAAATGGTTGATGTGTCTCCAGGGAATTTTATTATCTTCATCTAAACCTCCTTCTGAGGTTCGTTAGGATCACATTTCAGACTTCTCTTTTTTTATTGATCAGGTGAAGTGTTCTTAGACATGGCATCATCTGTTGCTGCTCTAGGGATGTCAAGATTCCAGTATCATTCTAATTCAGAAAACAAAGACTTCAGTTTCAACTCCTTGGTCTGACTGGTCCTAGGCACGATGACGCAAATTATCCTCTCTGGAAGATGCTACAATGCTTCAGATTAAAAATCCACTTTAAATAACTTTCAGAGACCCTAGAAAAAGGAAGCCAATCCTCTAAGATTGTGTCATAAATTAAAAAAAAAAAAACCCACCAATTAAAGACAGACATTCTATCCAGCGTTTTGAATTCTCTTTGGCTTTCTAGGAAACGCAGAAATATAAGCTCTTTGTTGCATTCTTTTTATTCTTAAAAAAGAAATCTTGCAAAAGGCAAAGTGGTAGTGGCAATCTCATTGTGCTTTAACCTAAAGTATATAAATTACTCTGATAAATTAAACACAGGCAAATTTTCTTAGAAAGCCATAAAACATTAGGTTTTTTCCCAGAAATCAGATACTGAGTTTTTGCTCTCCAACACTCAAATCAAAATGTTACAATAAAATGTTTTAATATTCTTTTTTCTCCTTTGCTATAAATGTCCTGTTCATGGTTGAGCAGATTTTTCTAGAACTTAGCTGAAAGACCATCTACATCATGACAGAACTATGCAAGCCAAAGCCAAGTTCCAACATGGAGTGATGGGAGAGGCCGGGCTGTTGAGAGGAGATGACTTCATTAGTGAGAAGAGAGGCTCTCTGAGTCGGTCCTCAAGGCAGCCAAATGGCTCAGCACATCTGCACTCACCCTGGGAGGCTGCCTGGAGCACAGCATCAAAAACGCTATCTCTTTTATAAAGAAAAAGATGAAGGCATAAAGAACACAGTCCAGCTAAATTGAATCAAAGACAGTATCACTCTTACTCCCTCCTTAGTCACTTTCTCAAAGCCTTTTTCTTCCTTCCCCACAGTCTGAAAAATATAGGATATTCTTATAAAAGCATTTGTCTGACTGAAGCAAGACAAACTGAAGAGTCTGACTTCTGAACACAAGGAAGCGGTAGTGATCTTAGAATCAATGAGGCAGGTTGGAATACAATGCAGGGCGGTTTCTTAAGAGGCAAAATTTTACAGTTGCTATTTATTTTTAGTGTTACCAGTTTCCATTTATTTAATTAGACTACAGTGGGACCGAGACAAGAAGCATAGTGAAAGCTGCTGCAAATAATGGCATCCTCGTTGTGCAAAGGGTACATGGCATCGTTAATGTCTCTGTGGTGAGCAAAGGTAGAATGCAAGACAGAAAACAAAGAAACCTCTATGTAGTGAGAAAAGCGTTCAGCATGGGTAGCAACCAGCATGTAGAAGCAGCAACCATACATTCCATTTTTATTCTGTTGACAAAAAGAATTGCAGGACTAATTCTTATTCCTATTAAAATATGAGAAATCACATTGAACCCTACAAATTAAAGGAAGTCAAACATTTGTTGTCATGATTCCATAAATAAATAAATAAATTAGAGAACAATACCTGTAAGACTCGGCAAATAATTATTACAAACAAACTTTCAATTTTTTTATATTTTCTCTCTTCAACAAAAGTTTATTGAGCATCTTTTATGTGCATGGTTTTAGATGGTAGACATTATTCAAAAAAGTAGCAATTGTTTTCCATCCTCAAGTTTATAATCTCTCTAGAAAAAAATTAACTCATAGGAGTATACATCAACTATACAATTGATGTATATAACTATACAGTTGATGTATGTACATCGACTATACAATTGATGTATATAATGACTAGTGAACTTAGAAGAAAGAA